CGCCCCCCCCCCCCCCCATAAATAAAATCAAATAAAATATACACCGATGTAGTCCATGAGGAACTTCGATGACGAATTCACACAAGCGAGAAAGCATTCTGGGATGCCAATGACGACTTGAATGGAAATGAAGAAGAAAAGAAAAAAAAACAAACCACAACAACAACCAGATGTCCGACCAATGGAATAAAATAAAACAAGTCACATGGTTGGAAATCATTGGTGCTTCCTAGTATCTAGTAGCAGATTGCTTCCCAAAAACAACAAAAAAAGTTTTTGGTCCTTCTATATATATACATATATGTATACATATTATTATTTTTAAAATGTGTATATATATATATGTATATATATTTAGTTGCAACAGTGCTTCTCCGAAAAAAGGTCCATCTATAAATATAATTTTATTTATTTTTATTTTTAAATTTTAGTTCTTTTAAGTTAAAATTCTCCATCTCTCTAGGTATTATTTTTTGAATGGTGTTAACCTGCTGAAGTTTTGCCAGAATGGTGCCTGGCTGCGTCTGGGTTCGGTGAACTCGAAGACCTGGGACTGGGATATGCCATCTGTCACCATGTATTGTCCCTGATTTAATGGATCCTGGGGTGGTGGGTAGGCTGGAGGAACCGACTTGGAGTAGCTCACACCTGCATCGATGATTGGGGGGAAAAAGAAACAGATCAGTCAAAGTGCAATTGGGTCAATAGTCTTTCTTCGTCATGCTATCGCTTCTCATCCCTTAATAACCAGGGTCCCAAACAACAGGGTGATGGGCTGGAGACGGCAAATCTACGGAGCAACGCAGCGGCTGCCTGAACTCTCAGCTCGGAGGCTGCCTACGCTAGACCACGAGTTGAAGATCTGGAAAAGATCCATGACTTTGGTCTTGGCAGAGTTTTGCCTGCCCTCATGGAAAAGTCCTGCGGGACCTGAGGAGGCACCAACGCCCGCCTGGCCGGGCGAAGGCCGACAACCACAGCGTCCAACCTGCTCGCAAATTTAACACTTGGTGTTTCCGAGCTCGTTTTCACCCTCCCTCCCAGCTACGCCTGGAAAGCAGTTCTGCCTCAACGTGCCCCGCTGAGCAGCCCCGAGCAGTGCGACCCCCCAGGACCACCCGGCACCGGTTCCTGCGTCGGAACGGAGCAGAGCTGCTCTGGAGGTCGCGCTGCGCTGCAGGGACCCGCACCGCTCCGGCGCTTTTCTGCCTATACGATGGACAACTCATTATTTTCTTTAGGAAAGTTTGTAGGACTTTTCCATAGGGTTCAGTTTAAATTTACCAGTCTGGTTTCAGCCAAAAATGGCTGCAGGCAACGCAGAAAAGGTTGATTTCTGCGCAACCCAAACTGGTAGCGATGGGTGGACTGGCGAGGCTACGCTGTCAGGTTCTCCATGCGTAATGCCCACGTACACGAGTCACAGCTCCTGGGCAGGAGCGGGGCGAGGGGGTGCTGCCCTTGCAGCTTTCCCATGGAAAGGGGGACCTACGCAACCCGTTGTAGAGGATGGTGTAGAAAGGGTGGCTCTGGGTGAACGGAAGTGGAACAGACGGGAGGGATGTCACCGCCGCAGTGTAGGCTAAACAGTAATACAGAAATTCTGTATTTCCTTCCCCGCGACACCACTGACGAGGGACACTCCCTCCTTCAGCCTCAGGGTAGCGTGATCGGCTGGAAACCACAACTCCAGAGAAGGGCAGGAAGGAGGGAGGAGCAGGGCTCTGAAGCAGGTTGCTGTAAGCTCTGGCCATCTCTGGATCCCCTCTGCTGCATGCAGAACTGCTCTTCCTTCTGCGGGGAGGGCAGCCCCGGGCGTGTGATGGGTGGCAAGCTTCGCAAGGGCCAGCTCGAGGCCATTGCCTCCCCTGGTCTTAACCGCAGGAGCGAGGCGACTCTACCCAAGCAGATCAGTGTCCTCATCTGGAAAGCGGGATGGCATCACCCACCTACCTCACAGGAGGGTTGTGAAGCTAAATTAATTAATGTTTGTATAACACTTTGAGATCCTCGGCTGGGAAGGTGCTAGAGAAGGCAAAATACGGTGATTAGCACCCAGGTACCACAGCAACGGGTGTCAAAGAAATGCCAGCTTTGCGTTCGGTTAGCGGTTCCTACGGACACACAAACACATGCTTTGCGGGAGCGGTGCCGCCGGCCCGGGCACGGGGGGCTGCACACAGGCGGGTACTTACAGACAAAGGGAAAAGCCTCAGGAAGTGCACTCACGGAGCTCATCGACAACTTTTACAGGTGGCCACGTTAAAATTCGGGGCCTCTTTTAGACACAAAGCTGAGGCTTTAGGAAAGAGAATGAATTCGCTTCCCCTTGCGAGAGAATTTACCAATCCGGGGTTGTTAAAATCCTCAAAAGGTTCAGACCAAACGGAGATATCATCTTGACTATGTCTAACTGATTTCTCCTTCTTTACAGCAAATACCATCCAATGGTGCTGTCCACTGTAGGGAGTGACCGAGACCTTTCCTTACGGTGGACAAAAAATGCTCCGTGATTCATACTTATTAACCTTTAACAAATTCATCACAGTTAATATTTCAAACTTATTTGGAAAGAACAACCTGGAAATATTCTGCATTTGTATCTGCGTGCTGGAATAGTTACTCATCAACAAGGTTTCTACTCTGGAATAGTTACTCATCAACAAGGTTTCTACTCTGTCTTTCCCAAGCTCCTCTCTCCCACAGAAAGCCTGCAGAGCAGAGTGCAGCCCCAGAGCCCGTGCTGCCCTGGGGTCAAACCTGGAACAGGGTCAGTTCTAGGACACCTGAGACAACTTCTGTCCCATCCTTGTTGGTAGGCCCCGACCGTCAGTTCGAATTTACCCCACTATGTGACTTAAGCCAATGAAGTCCCACAAGGGTAGAGCATGGGCTTGAGCTCATCTCTGCCCTGCCTCTTCCAACCCTTCTTCTACCACGGTCCTGCTCTGAGTTGCCTTGCTGGAAGGCAGGTCAATGTGTGGGCAGTGTAACCAACCGCAGAGTCTGCTCTGGAGGGGAAACTCCAGCCCTGAACCCATACAAGAGCGTAGACATTCTCCAGGAGGCCACCAGCCTTTGGTGCCTTGGCCACTTTTCTCAGCAGAGACTGGTGAGGAATTGTAGAATCTGTGGGAAGGTCAGGATCTGGTACAGGTCCCTTACACGGCTAGAGTGGGAAATAGATCTTCTGTCCGGTCAGTGGTTTGGACCTTTGTCTGACCCAAAGGACCAGGAATTACTTCAAAGGCCAGTAGGCCTTGTGCCACCAAGATTACTAAGCTGTGCATCTAAAGCTGCTGTTAAGGGACAAACAGCAGTTGTGTCTAGCTTTGGAAGACCTTAAAAACCACATTGCTTTAATGCCACGGCCCAATGTCTTTTGCATCCTGTGGCTGCTGAGTAGCAGCCTTGTGATGCACCCGGGCTGCCGGGCTGAGCTCTTTGTTGTCACTAAACCCATCTTTGGAGGGTGAACTAATGTATGTTAATCATGATACAGAAATGCCAAAAAATCTCCTGGATCAGCAAAACGTTATGCGCTTGGAACGCTGAAGAAGTAGAGAAAGGACAGTCTGGCTGAAGTCCACTGACATTGATGGAGTTACACTGCGAAGAATGTAATCCATAGTCTGTCTTCTCCAAAAGAGAAAAAGGCAGACTCCCCTGGCCAGATCACTAGCAAACCCCACTCAGGTCTTTCCCAAATAGCCTTTTTGGTCCAAACTCCTGAAAAACATCCATCCTTGCTTGAAACATGCCCATGCACACATTGCCACCTCCCTCAGTAAAGCAGCTCAGACCCATATTCTTGGAGGTGTTTGTGTGCCCCCTCGAGGATCGAGGCTACTGGCATTAACATCTGAGCTGGGTGAACGTCAGAAGCTCCTGGCTGGTTCTGCTTGAAGGTTTGCATATTTATTGTATTTATCAAACGGCCTCCATGGCCTCAATGATGAAGACAGCGGCTCTTTATGGATGAGGCTTTGGGCAACCTGGTGTAGTGGAGGGTGTCCCTGCCCATGGCAGGGGGGTTGGAACTAGATGATCTTTAAGGTCCCTTCCAACCCAAACCGTTCTATGATTCTATGATTCTCAATGGCATGCATGATCACCGGGTGTTTGTGGGCATGCAAATAAAAACGTGTGTGCTCGGGCAAGTCAGGCTGATAATTCCACCAGAACACATTTTCTTGTGAAATTGAGATTTGTGAATTGCACTTTGCAATAGCTTGAGGTGCCCCAAGAAGGGCCTCTTTGGTTTTTTTTGGACATACCCACGTTCTTGACAAGGTGGAACACGGGAACTGGGAGGGGGAAGGAGGGAGATTCACCTGATCTGCACGTCTTTAAATCCTGAGAAAATGCAATTCTGGGAAAAAGTCTGCCAGGTTGGTATTTTTCTATTCTGCTCTGAAGTGCTTTGCTCCCGCATCAGAACTGGGGGCTGCTGTGCAAAATCATCTCGAGGGATTTTCTTTTTTTTTTTTTAATATGCAAAGCCATAACTCCACTGCAATTCAACAGAAAGCAAAGCGCTTTCCCAGCGCGATTCTGGGCTGCCTGGTGAAAAAAATTCCAAGTGCAAAGGGGAAGAATTGATTTCCAAGGGCAAAGGCGTAAGAAAGCAGCTGTTCAATGACCAGACCTGGAGCTCCTTCTGCTGGTTCGTGCATAATTCTGCACTGTAGCAGAACACAAAGGCTGCAGCTGCACAGGCAGGATGGTTCGGCGGGGTGGGGGTTGTGGAAATCTGTTGGGAGTGGGAAAAAGAAAACTCCAGGGTTTATAATTTGGCTAGACAAAACGGGCAAAGAGAGATGCTGCACTGTCAGTTGAAATCATGGCTTTTTTTAGTACTAGGCAACGTCACTTGGAATCTTTCGGATTTCTCAGCTCAGAAGAAAACAAAAAGATTTAAATCTGTCTCATTTTCCCCTTCTAGTTCTTTTTTTGAAAGCGTCTCATCTATTTGAGGTTGCAACACGACTTCAGTAGCACGGGAAGCTGTAGGAGCACGCTACTAACTGACAGGGGATCCACATGGACACGTGCAGACATGGCTCCAACACAGCAGGACAGCTACAATAACACTGCACCTTTCCAGAGCTGATACAAAACACACACAGAACACGCTCAGATTTGCCTCTAGATAGAACCACGGAAACTTGCCTTACAAGCTGTTCATTCCATCCTCGACCTTTAGGATTTTAGCTTATAAAACTTTGATCAGGAGCTATTCCATAGGCTTTTCTTCTACCTAGCTGCCTAGGTGCCATGCTGTTCATTAGCGAGAACCGAGTGGGACACAGTAAAACACCAGCACCTGCTTCCTCTGCTGGCTGCTGGAGGCTGCTGGGAGGGATGGAAGCAGTGCTGCGCTAAGGAACCCTGCATCTCCCTCTGATCGCAAGAGCAGCTGAGCCAACTCGCATCTTTCAGGAGCCATGCTCAAAAATCCCAAAAATTCCGTTTCCTCCTGAATATTGTGACCGATACACAACATGGGGTAGCCAGGAACACACCTCAAGAACCCTAATTGTTGTATGGTTAATTACTCCTGCAATAGCCACAAGTTTAAGTTAAAGAAATGAGCAGTCATGGCTGATGGGTACAGCCCTTTGCCCTTCTTCAGCACATTTCAACAG